ATCCCTCAAGATGTAATTAACCAAAGGGATACGTCTCATGAGGAGTTGCTCTTGACCCCAGAACGAACGCAAACATTTGATTCTCTAGTTGTGGGTTGCTTTCATAGGGTTTTCTTCAAGGATATGCTTCCATGCCATTTTGATCCGATCTCATTTCGGACTTACGTTTTAGAGCTATTGCGCGAAGGTTACCATAAGAAAGTTTTATACGTTCTTTTTAAAATTATTTGTCTATTTTTATCGTATTTTTCTTTCTTTCTGACTCCCCTAATCTTCGCATCATTTTCATAATTCAAAAGAGAATTTTGTTTGGAAAAGAGAATTCAAAGATGACGATAAGACAAGTTGATGACTACAAGATGCAAAAAAGAACGAAAACAATAATTTGATTCATTAACTAAATATTTTAATAACTACTTTTTGATTTTTCTAATATGGCACTCACATGGCTGAAACATCTAATCATTGATGACCATTGAAAACTTTCATTTTTCAATTTACACTTACCATGTATACTTGAGCGTAACATGGTGGTTGAGGGTTTAGTTTTTCACCATAATGTCAAGGGTTTAAACCACGCATATTGCCATTTAGGCTCAATTTTCCCAAAGAAAACAGTTATACACAATTATCAAACTAAATTGGGGGCCACAGTAAGAAATTATTTAAGCAATAAATCATACAAGCTTTGGGCATTTGAGTAGGAACATTTATGGGTGATAATGCACAAAAAGAGTTATGCAAAGTCCTTTATTCCTTTCTGCATGCTTCCTCAACTAGACATAAAACTCAAATATAAATTTGAGAATTATTTTACACCTATCTCCTTCAACTGATTGATCCCAAACGAGGCCTTAAACTAAATGGGATCAATTTTGTGTAGTTGAGGGACTAAAAATGGGATCAATTTAGTGGAAAGAGTCACATACATTAGTGTTCGCATCAAAGCAAAATGCTAAAGGTTTACAAAACAAGCAAATATTGACTCTATAATCCAATCAAATGAGGGAGAACTGTCAAGCATGTATGTTAGAACGAAACTGTGATCATGTTAAAAACAAATTACTTTCAGGCCTAGGGGCAGAACCAGATAATGTCTTTGATGGGGGGTGTTGAAAAATTAGGCTTCCTCTTAAACGAGCATAATAATATAAAAAATGGCTTGAGCACAGTATACTTGAGAAACACTTTGCACGTGACACTTCAAAAACCTCAAAAAAGAATAAAAATCTCTCTCATTGGTTTAGCTAAACAAACCCAGAGCCATTAGAGTCGCGATGGTGAACATCTCAGCAATAGCCAACGGAAGATTGGAGAGGGCAGACAATACTCTTTTCGGCAACTTCTTCATCAAGAACAACAAATTAAATCCGCCACCTTTGGGCTTTTTATTCTGGACTCTTCCACCTCCAACAATGCCGCCGCGGTCGCCTGATTGCTGCAGCGGAGCGTCGAAAAGGACAATCTTCTTCCTCCTCTTCGCATCAGGAAGAGCACTTCCCTTGTGGAATTCGGAGCTCCTCGGCTTAGATTCAACTCGGATTGCAAGACGCTGCCTTTGGATGAGAAAACGGGCATTGTAGAAAAGGGCAGAAGGACGTTTTATCGTTGGCTGGAGAAGAAGAGAGAAGAGCGATTCGGTGAATGGGGCATCTTTAAGGGGTTTTGCAGGGTTTATTGGAGGAAAAGACACGAGCAGCTGAAGAGTTGAGGAAGGCATACCTGGGTGGGTTAAGCTTCAGAGCCAATTAGGAGAGAGGAGAATATGTAGGAGAGAATGGCCTCAGACGAAGCAGTTGATGTGGATAAGCCTGAGAGGATGGAGCAGGGCAATTGACGTAAATAAAGAAAAACTATATTCATAATAATCAAAATCAATTTAATATATTTTAAGCAACATTCTCCACCAACTCGGAGAATCCGCAATTGAGATGGGCTGTTTGTTCATTGTACGTGTTTTTTCATATATTATTGAAGGGTGCAAGAAAGTTTGAGACATTAGGGTAATGAATTATCATTTTAGTTTCACACACAAATTTAACATATACTTAAAATTAAAAGTAAGCAATGAGTAATGACACTAAAAATTTGTATGTGGAAAACCCGAAAATGAAACAAACCAGAGGGACATGTCTTTTTCAAATAACTCACTAAATAGTTTTGCATACATGAGTCTACTCTTCTCTTGAATTAGAGAAAATGGAGTTACAGAAGTTATCATTGTAAATGTTGGAAAACCCGAAAATGAAACAAACCACAGGGACATGTCATGTTCAAATAACCCACTAAATAGTCTTGCATACATGAGTCTACTCTTCACTTAAATTGGAGAAAATGGAGTTACAGAAGTTATCATTGTAAATGTACAACAGTGGTTCGTCTATATTAGTTGTCATATAGTTATAATGAATGTAGTTCACGATGAAAGTAGTTTGCAAGACCGTGGTTACTTGTTATGGAGGCAGCAGCCTGTCATATATGTTGTTGACGGTGGTCATAGAATGTTGTTTACGGTGAAAGTAGGTTGCAAGTGATGTAGTTGGTTGTTATGGAGGCAGCAACCTGCCATATATGTTGTAAACAGTGCTCGTAGCGTCAGCTTGTCTTGTAGGTAGTAGTTGAAATCATGGTAGTGATTGGTTATGTGAGATGCAGATGGTTGTTTCAGAACTGTCAGCGTTGCAAAAGATATAAGCCACGTAGGTTGTACTTGATCACATGAGTTGTAGCGTGAGCTGCGATAATGTTTGTAAGTCGCAGGGGTCGGAGTTGAAAGCTGCACTAGCTATTAATCATGTGGGTCGTAGTGGCGATCTGTGATGACATTTGTAGGGCGCGGAGGATGGCGTTAGGAACTACACGAGCTATAAAGCATGTAAGTTATAGTTGGTTTCGTAGGTCGTAGTGGCAAGCTGGGATAATGTTGTAGGCCACGAGAGCAGGAGTCGGGAGTTGCAATAGATATGAACCACGTAGACCATAGTGTCGAGCAGTGATAATGACTGTAAGTCATGGGGGCTTAAGTCGAGAGCTGCACATGCTATGAATCACATAGGACGTAGTTGGTCATGTAGGTTGTAGTGGGCAACTATAACGACGTATGTAGGTCGCTGCGCCAGAGTTTGGAATTACACAAGCTATGAACCACGTAGATCGTAGTTAGTTATGTAGGTCATAATGAAGACATCCATAGACCTTCGGGGCCAGAGTTAAGAGCTGCATGAACTATGAACCCCTTAGGTCGTAATTGGTCACATAGATCGTAGTGGAAAGCTGTGATGAAACTCGTAAGCCGTGGAGGCTGGAGTTCAAAACTGCATGAGCTATGAACCGTAGGACATAGTGGCAAGCTATGATGAAACTCATTGGTTGTGAGGGCAAAAGTTGAAAGCTACACAAGCTATAAATCACATAGGCCATAGTTGGTTATATAGGTCATAGTGGCAACCTGTGACAAAGTTCATAGGACACGGGGGC